GATACTTGTTCTTTGGTTTGAGTTATGAACATGGAATCGTCTGGTACTGAAAGTTACTTATCATCTATCTTTAACATCTATACGCATATTAATCAACCATCTGGCACCATGAATCAACGTAAATAGTTGGTACATAACAAACTATCAAATCGATATACAACAAAACAGTGCCAAGTAGTGCATAACAAAAAATGAATTAGACTAGGTAGTGTGGTGTTGGTGAAAGAGAAAGCAATAAAGAACTCGGATTCTATATGTTCAAATAAAGTATGGCTAAAATGAAATGCAATTACTGAGTTTATTATGGTGAAGGTTCTATTTAAGCCAATTTCTGTATATTTTGTGTAGTTTCTTGTTGTAAATTTATATCAAGAATAAATAGTAAATTCCAATTCAAGTTTGTTTGTTTTAGTATATTTGCAGCGTGTAGCTTTAGCAGTTTAAACATACATGCACCCATGAAAAATCTCTTCTTTCAATGATTATATGGCGTTTTCGTGGTTGCAATGTGAGTGACTATTATGTTATCAGTGAGGATATTATCTATATATGCTGATAGTGGAATATAGCTTCACACGTATACAGGAATTGTCACATACTGAAGGAGGTTACATTTTTTTGACTGACCCCTCTTTTAATCTTCCATATGAATTAACTAATTTATTTTTTCTTATTAACTTATATGGTGCATATTAGTCGCTATTTCCTTGGAAAAAGTCTAATTGTGTGAGTCCATCTTGAAGTTAGGTCTGCTTGACACTGGTGTGTAGGGATCACGGGGTGCTCTTTGTTCGGTCGTTCTCTTCTCGGCTGGTTTTTCTCCGCGTGCTGTCCGTGACACATTCTTGTGTGATTCTTACTACAGCTTGGGGGTGGGGGGGGGTTGATTACGGGAGGGCAGTTATATGCAGTACCTAGTTTCAAGTAACTAGTCTTGGTAAATAACATTGCTTTTAGAATTAATGATAAAAAACGGAGTTTTAAATCCATCCCAAAATACTGCCCTATTTGAACACATATTTTAAATTGGAGCACTTAAAATCGACTGAATAAATTTCTGTTCACTATGTTATCCAGACCTGTTCATTGGATTATTTTAAACTTTGGGGCGTCTCACACAAGTCCACGTGATTTAATCCCTATTCATGTTTCCACATTAATCCAGTCTTAGTAACCGGTAGTCTCAAGAAAATTCACCTCGTTATGTTGATTCAACAAAGCTGTTGCTCAATCATATATCCAACTGGTGGGACCGATACTGAGTTTCATTAATTGATGTCACACTTGCTACATAATTATATGGACCTATATACGTTCGCCGCTAGTCTTAAAGTAAACTTAAAAATGGGGCCATTACTTCAGGCTCAAAACTTACGTCAGTATTTGTACCTATGTTTTTCATTCTATCTCATTTTAAAGCTATTGAAGGCCGCGTCACGGAACAAAAGAGTGGCTGTTCTATCGCGCGAGTCATGGATCAGACCATGACCTGAGCAGCAGACCGACAGATCTGATCTTTTAGGATCTGCAGGTTCGCTAACGACGTTTCTCTACTTGTAATAGAGTTGGTAAGTCTGAATTCTAGCATGGCACTCCTATCAGACGCTGCAGCGGATGCGAAGAAGCTGGGGTCTATCTCAATGCTGGTTCTTGAATCAGCTTACTATTGTTGGTACCTTAGTTCGTGACGCCGGCTCAAAATATGATGTTGCAATACCACGACTCATTATACCACTAGTCATCAAATGATTGGTTGCTTAATGTCCACACAAATTTCGCTTACCAATTTTTACGTTATACGTGAAGACACACGCAAGATCGTATCGACGCTTCGAGTATGGACCACTGGTCAAGGTTACGGTGAACACTGTGGATGCTTCTGCATTGAATTGAGTCTAACAGTTTCATAAGTCTTTATGTCCACCTATATTTACATTAGTTTAATGAGATTATAGTCAACATAAGATTTGGGTAATATATTTTCAGCTATGCCCGTAAGGCGGGCGCTATTTTGAATTGAATTCACATTCTAGTTTAGGCGCTATTAAGCGGAATATAAATAATAAAAAAAATAATAACGAAGGATTTTAAGTGTTAAACAAATATAGAATCGCACAGTTTCATATCTATTGAATATTGAATATTGTGGTGTAGCCAACACAGGCAGCTAGGGGTAACCGATGGGACGGATAGTAATGTGTAACAACATAGTAATACCAAGGATTTGCTCATACCGATTATTTTCTTTGATTGTGATAAGTCTGATTAAACATAGACTTACATGCGCGAGATAAAAGCAACTAAGCCAACGCATGGCCGTAATATCGAGAGGACTGAATACTTAGTATATGTTTTACAAGTGCATTTAATTTTCTTTGGTATAGAAATCTGAAAACTTATTACGAGGGCAAGCACCTTAGTCTCTATCTCTCATTCTAAAAATTAGCAACATCTGACAAAATTTGTTACAGTCATGGGGCATTTCCCATACTCACGATTCGCTCATCAACACTCCAAGATGCGCTGGTCCAATATGGACAGCCGTTGCATGTTCTGTTGCGAAGTCAAGAAGGATCAATCATACTTACGGTATTATTATTGTTTGCCTTTCACATAACCAAATGATTCTCCGATCGCAGCTATCCAACGTTGTGCCGCGGGCCACTAGGTTTTAATATGTCAACGGTGTAGGTAGAGAGAAATCTATGCTTTTGTACGATCAAATACTTTCTGTAAATAATTCCACATAAAGACCCATAGTGCAAACAATATACATGTTCTATTAATATAGTTCACTGTAAGATCTGACGGAAGACCATGATGAATCACATATCCGAGATATTGGGTTATTTTATACATACACTACATCCAGTTATTATGTATTTGAGGCCTGTCAGCTACGACACAATGTTCATTAGATACGTCACGTGTACTTGGTAATTGCAATATGGTTTTTTTTGTCACTTATACATTTGGTTGTACGATCTTTATACCACAAGACAACTATCGTCTAAAATAATGGATTAGTATTGTGAACATTACTTACTAGACCAATGCAATAACTTACGTAGCACACATTGCAGTCAAAATTCGATCGACTCATATCTCTCTTACGACCCCTCGTCCACAGTTGGTTTCGTAAAGTGTTAGGTGTACACGTGATTTAATTAATGTTTTGGGCTATTTACAGTGAGGGTAACACGTACTAATCTTTTATTATTCTGGTATGATCGGAACATCTGGACACGTTTGGGTCTAGGGTTCTACTAAGTAAATGTTATTTATTGGTGGTGTTTATTCTTCTTCCGATTCTTCAACTCTCTTTATCTATCTTCTGACGTTCTTTACCCTACCCAAGATGCAGAACATTCAATTCAGCTAGTTGGCGCACCGCGAAGTGCTGCACTGCGGCTGTATGAGAAATAATCGTGTCTTTGTTTGCATAGTGAAGATATGTAAAAACATTACGGTTTACACGGAGAGTATCCTGAAAAGCTGAATCAATGGTATGCTGTCGAAACTGGAATTGCAGACCGATTTAACGCGATTCACAAGGGAGGATTAATTCTACCGACCACTTATTACATCAAGTGAAAAAGCATTTGGTGAAGATCACCACATAGGATATCTCGTTATTTGTCAAAAACCATGCGAAGAATATCCTCTGGATATTGAAGGCATCACACAGATCATTAAGTCGTTATTGTGAATTGGGGTACGGTGTTTTGTTTCTAAATAAAAACACCAGCTATATTCGATCACTTGCTAAAGATAAGAGGAAAGATAAACTCTCTCAGGAAGGCCTATTTATTGTACCACTTTAGTCCTAAGAGCGGTAAGGACTATGTTTAATTAATTATATGTCTTGGTTTATTTTGATACACGATTAGATTTAGTTTATCAGGATTTCAAGCTCATTACAGTCACTACTTTGTTCGGGGTAATAAAATAAGTAACACTTGTCCCGTATCAAGAAGTTGGGGTTTCTTGGGTAACAGTATAATATAAGCATCCGCTCGTAAATACCACTACTCGCTACCCTTGCTACGTCTCGGGTCACGTCATTCTTCCTCGATGACATTTTTTTAGTGTAACCTACAAACCCATGCTGTTATTTATCAATACTTCTTTTATAAAAACTCATGCGACGCTTATTAGATCCTGCCTATACATATAGATTTCATTTCCTGCTAAGTACTTGCAACGTAACTTCCAACGTGGTCCGAGCTTCTTTATTAAGACTTGGCCTGGTTAGACGAAACCCGCGCCCAAAAGATCGAGTTATATCAGATAATTTATATGGCCGAATGTTATCTACGGCTAAAGAGTGGTAAAATTCGTATTGGAGACATTGGTTATTTAATTCGTAAAGATGAAACAATTTATTTTCTTGTTGATGCACTAATTGATTTTGCAAAAAACATGGTTTTCTCAAATTTTGAAAACATTGTCTAAGCCATATCCTTTGGTTACTCAAAACTATGGTTCTTACTTACAATCAGTCAACACCACCTACGTACGGGTGAGTTATAGAGCGCTTCAAAATCGCATGTTAGGAGTCCCACACGGGCCTCGGTTTCAATGCTCAAGGCAACAGTCATATAGAGTTCGATTTAAGATTAGCAGATTTGAGTGTACTTATGTATCTGAATGGCACATACTTGGCTCCAACCTCTATGTATATGTACTAGAGACGTTATAGTGTTAAAGAATAGTAAAGAATTAAATGGTGGGCTGATTTTATGCGACAAGAAACGGTGATTACTAGACGTGCACAGCTACTCAAAATGCAGAAAAGCCATGCCGGTCATAGAGGGATTAATTTATGGATAACTCGAACAAGATTATCAATGTCTTAGTGTAGATTAATGAATTGTGGCAAAATAATTAGCTTCTTTTTTAATGCCAGATCATATAGTATATGTCGTTCTTAAAGTGTTGTAAGTTGTGAGAGGGTAAGCAACTTCTTCATTATAGACACTTATTAATCTTCGAATCACTTACCCGCGTCCATTATCAAGATGAATTGGACAGGTGTCGTTTCTAAGGTAACGAAACACTTCTACGTGATGTCTGTCCATATTTCCTGACATAGAAAATGTGTATATAAATATATTCCAATCTTTGATATGATGGACATATGATATTTTACTTAAAGCAGCTTGTCACCAGATTCATGCTAATTTTCATGAACATTTTGAAAATGTATTAAAAATTAAAACATTGGCAAGTGAACAGAAACAAATTCTTTACACAGTGCAGAAGGCAATTTCAACCCAAATTAACTACCAAATAAAGGTCAATATGTGCAAAAATAGCCCATACTGGATATGTCACGCAGTTAATACTGTAACATCAGTCATTCATTGCATATAACATTAGATAAGTTATTTAATTTATATAATTATAATATTTGAATTGTGAATAAATGTTACTTGTCTTGATTTCATAATTAGTACATTTTTCTCATTGTTGATTTTGTTAATTTATTTGGCTCATTTGGAGGCAAGCAGCTTCATAATATTAATAGGGAAAATAAGAGAAAATATACGTCAATTATTTGTCTTAATGATAAGTTCTTAATGAAGCTTTTAGTATGTCATATACTTTTATACGTTCTTTTCACAAAGCGATTATTACCTCCTCTTGCCGCCATGCTATATGAAAGAACCTGGTCAAATACATTATACAGAAAACCGACCCCCAACAAAGGGAGGTAAATATTGTAAACATCGGGCACCATCTATAGAATATACACACATGCTTACCTGTTATAAAATCGAAGATATGAGTATCTATGAAATCTGCAATGAATCGTTTATAAAGATATGGCTGATTCCGCAGAAGTCTCTTGCAATATCCTTCGTCCCTCTCCCATTCCGCTGTTTTACTTTTGCTGTAAGACCTGCAAGAAATAAAGTATGATACAGCTACTTTATAAACAACGTTCACCAATGTGTCACAGGGTGAGAATAATGTGCAGCCTAACCGGGACTCGAACCCTGGAACCTAGGAATACGGTAACCGCCGCCTTGAGGAGAGGGCCGACCGGTTAACAATCATCTCCCTAAAAGTGAAGCGGCGGAGAGAGAGACGAATGAGAGGATGAACTGAACTGCGCAAGATCGAAAGACTACCACGTACAATTAGAAGAAAGGCCGCGTGTTTTACCGAACCGTAGGTTTGCAAGCCTGGTACTCGTGAGATCGAACTTGTTACTAATTTTAGCCACTCTCGTTAATGGTATAACGTTGAGTACAATCTATCACACTTCTAGTCTTCTGTCGCTACATAGCTTATGTAAAGATATCACTTATGCAAGGAAAGTTCTAGTAACAGTTTTACCACATCTTGATTATTGTTGCATAATTTATGGTAACTGTACGTCTTTTCTAGAAGATAAACTCATTAAGTTCCAAAAGAGAGCTGCAAGACTAATTCTAGGACAAAGATTATGACACTCCATCTGCTGAACTTTTTCTGAACTCCGCTGGATGACCTTTTCACAGAGGGTTGTTTTTCAAAAAGCTATTATGATGTTTAAAATAATAAATAATCAGGCGCCTTCCTATTTATTGAATAATTTCATTTTATCGTCAGATGTTCATACTCGCATTTTGCGTTCATCATCTGATTTTCACTTTATACCCCTAGACCAAATACTGAACAATTTCGTAAGTCTTTTGTTTATTCTGGATCTTGTATTGGAACGGCCTTTCCTGATTATATTAAGTCTGCTACATCTGTTAACCATTTTAAAACCTTATACTTGATGTTTTATCACGCATTGATGTATACAAATTGATAATCTCCTGTATGTTTTTACATTTATGTATTTTAATAGTTTGAAAATGTTAAATTTATATTGTTCCTTGTTGAGGGCCTCATGGAAGATTGATATGTTTGTTCAAATGAGTTCTCGCGTTAAATAAAGTACTTTATTATTTATTATTATTATTATTATTATTATTATTATTACAGTGTAAAAAGAATCATTTGCTGAATGTGACATATATATATATATATATATAAAATTTCGATAATAGTATGTTAAAAACTTACAAAATTAACAAAACAAAACAGAAAAAAATAAACCTACAACGATTACTTGTTATGAAAATTCAGTCATTACCATTGTGCATGTACTTTGTTGAATCTTTATATCAATTTTGATTCTTTAAAAGCTTAAAACATTATATAAAAACAGAAAAGAAGTGAGCGTAAAATATACAACAATTACTTCAGGAAAATTATAATTAATCACTTATTATTCTTGTACATGTATTACATGTACTGTCCAGTCTTTGTTTTATACCGAGACTGTTTACAAATCAAATACTATATTCACAACATACGAATGGATCAGCCCAAATGAATGATTTGTTTGTTTTTATACCGAACTCCTATGTTTTACTACACTTGTTTCCTATTCATTTAATTGTAAATTTTACATGCATAATATCTTTAAATGCGTTGTCAAAGTGAGTTACCTTCTAAAAGGACTAAACCATCTTTCTCTATCGGCGTCTCTTCCATCAGGTAACCATGCCATTACGGAACCCTCAATTACATCACCTTTACCACAAAATGGCGTGTTACTGTAAA